AGGATAATGTCAAAAGTCTTTTTTTGCAATTCGCCAAAAGACCATTTTTACAATTCAAAAAATCTTTTTACAATTCACGCCAAAAGCCTATTTTTCAAAAAACCATTTTGTAATTCGCCAAAAGACCATTTGTTAATATTAAATAATAATAATTATTAAATTTATTTAAGGAAGTGAGGTCAAAACCACTTCACCATATCGGGCGTGATTCAAGATATTTTAATATCCTGTGGTAGCTGTCTCTATTTGCGTCAGCCGTAGCTATTTGCGGCAACTGTATCTATTTTACGGCAGCAGTAATTATTTACGGCAAATTGTAGCTACTAACAGCTATTTATGGCAATGGCAGCTACCAGTCCAAACATTTACGGCAAGTTTCTTTAGTAGAGGCTAATATTAATATTATAAAACAATGTGTATTTGCTGTAAAGATTTATTATTTGTGAAATGTCTTACTACAAGACCTTGCTTATAGTATCTCGAGGATAGCATCATCAGAGAATGCAACAATGAAATTTTTTCGCATCGTTATGCAATTGAATAATCCAATGTTTACAGATATGTCAATAGTATATTAAATGGATAATATTGAAATGTATTTTCCTCACGATAGTTGTATTTTCAATATTCAATATTATTATAATTATTATGATTAATGTTGTGTTGAGAATAATAATATTATTGCCCTACTTTATATGTTTTTTAATTTCTTCGTTATAAATTTTGAAGATACTTGGAATAAGCATCTTGTAACTTGATCCATTATTTTCTTGTGTGTGATTTTCAAACGAAAGCGATGGCGCTTGTTAAAAAGAAAAAAATTTTGTGTAATTGATTCTCAATATCAAGGAAATGAAATATTTATTTATTTTTAATTGATTTTATTGATTCATTGATAATTTACTTGATTAGATCACAAATTAACTTTTATTTAAAACTCTATTCTTCAATTAATCACGCATGTAAAATCAACTATGAGTGTTTGTTATTCCATTCCTAAATAATCAATAATAATATATTAATTAATATTACAAAGTTTTTGTCGCCAGTGTTATATTGACATAAATATTAAA